AACATGTCAGAAATAGATTTTAGGAATTGTTACAAAAATAAATCACATGATTTGGTGTCGCTAAAAACGCCACTATAAAGTGCTCCACTACCAACGGTTGCTGCTGTTTAATAGTCTTGTGTCCGGATTACAAGGAATTCCACAGCTGTCTTCACTGCTGGCCTGAAATTCAAACTGCAGATATAATCTTTCATTGTTCACACAGGAACAGGTGGAGGCCTAAACAACAGACAAAACTGAATCAACTTTAGTCTTGCTAATTTTTTTTTTTTTTTTTTGCAAGAAGAATATTTTTTTAAGCTTTTGAGGCTTTTTGATATCTAGCTAGCCATCTACACTCAACGGCCACTATATTAGATACACCTATTAAATTGCTTGGTAAGACAAATTGTGAATCAGCCAATCACATGGCAGCAACTCAATGCATTTAGGCATCAAGATGTAATGAAGATGACTGAAGTTCAAACCAAGCATCAGAATGGGGAAGAAAGGGGATTTAAGTGACTTTGAACGTGGCATGGTTTTTGGTGCCAGATGGGCTGGTCTGAATAGTTCAAAAACTGCTGATCTACTGGGATTTTCATGCACAACCATCTTTAGGGTTTACAGAGAATGGTCCGGAAAAGAGAAAATATCCAGTGAGCAGCAGTTGTGTGGAGGAAAATGCGTTGTTGATGTCAGAGGAGAATGGGCAGACTGGTTGGTGTGACATTCAGATGGTAGGGTCATAATTTGGCATACATAACATGAAAGCATGGATCCATCCTGCCTTTATCAAGTCTGGTGGTGGTGGTGGTGTGTCATGGCGTGAAGGATATTTTCTTGGCACTAGCAAGGTGTACCTAAGTGGCCGGTGAGTGTATGTCGTGTCTATCTGAAAACCTGAAGATGATTGCAGATTGGCTGGTACGGCACTCTTAACTGAACTAATGAATGTATTGGCTCCACCGCTCCTCTTCCATGTTGCCATATTTAAAACAACAGTATGGGGCAGGGGCAGACTGACAACTCATGGGGCCCCCGGGCATAGGGGATCATGGGGCCCCTCTGTCCTTGCCCAAACTCAAAAAAGCCTATGAAAAAGGTACCAGGGGCATCTCGTGGGGCCCCCTACTGACCCCGGGCCCCCGGGCAGTGCCCGAGTTTCCAAATGGTCAGTCCACCCCTGGTATGGGGTAGATTTATTAAAAACTGGTGCAGTTGTGCATGGTAGCCAATGACCAGGGGTGAACTGACCATTGGAAAACTCGGGCACTGCCCGAGGGCCTGAGGTCAGTAGGGGGCCCCATGAGATGCCCCTGGTATCTTTTTCATAGGCTTTTTTGAGTTTGGGCAAGGACACAGGGGCCCCATGATCCCCTATTGCCCGGGGGCCCCATGAGTTGTCAGTCCGCCCCTGCCAATGACCTTCTAACTTCAGCTTGTTCAGTTAAGCTTTGACAATAAAACCTGGAAGCTGATTGGTTTCAATGCAGACCTGCACCAGATTTTGCACCATGTAGTTTTGGTAAATAAAAGAAAGTGTATGAAGAAATCAAGGGCTTTCAAGGATGACCCATGAGTCTACCGTTACATAGAACTCATACATTTAAATCAGTTTTACCTTTTATTAAACAAACCTTTGTATAAAAGCATACAAAAATGGGGCCGTTATCACCTAATATAACCATGTATAAACCGGTATATAAACACAAGCCTTATCAGAGGGCTTCATAATCAAGTTATGACATTCTTGTGGACCTTTTAGAGCAGTGGTTCTCAACCTTCCTAATGCCGTGACCCTTTAATACAGTTCCTCTTGTTGTGGTGACCCCCAACCATAAAATTATTTACCCAGTAATTATAATTCATGAAGTGTCGTTTTTACCTCCAATACTGCTGCTTTCAACACAGTAGCTGCTTTTAACAGAGTAGCTGCTTTCAACACAGCAGCTGCTTTCTACACAGTAACTGCTCTTTACACATCGGAAATATGTGTTTTCTGATGGTCTTAGGGGACCACTGTGAAAGGGTCGTTCGACCCCCAAAGGGGTAGCGACCCACAGGTTGAGAACCACTGTTTTAGAGGGAATCCATTCCTTTTTGAGTAAATTAGGTTTTGTGTTAGCACAGCACAGCTCTTCGATATCTTTTGTTACCAACTGCAAAAAAAGATCCACTCTTGCATTACCTTGAGTTGGAAATTTTAGCGATTTATTTTTATATTTCATCGGGCGATATTCACACTCGGACTGCAAATCTTCCTCTTCTTCTAAAACTCTATCTGATATAAGAGCATCAAAATCTCCATCCACACTCTCTCTTTCCAATTCCATAGCTTCCAGTAGCTTTATTTGACCTTTAGATAAGAATCATTGATAAATTGGCATCTCATCATATGGAAAAGATTTTAAAGTCCCGAAGAAGCGATAGTGCCTACGTAACACGTTGACCCTTCGACCTATGCTGATCGTCATTATGTATTTGTACCTGTTTATACATGGTTGTATTAGGGGATGATGCCCCCGTTGTTTTATGCTTTTAAACAAAGGCTTGTTTAACCACTTCCCATCCCCCCTACAGGGCAGCACGGGTGCGCAAAATCACATATATATATGTGATTTTTCATTTCAGGGTAGGGGTGCGCACCCTACCCGCACTGGCAACTGCGGCTGTCAATCGTGGCCGGTAATTACTCGCTGGCGCCCGGCAATTTCGAAGATCTCCAACGGGGAGGAGGACTATTTTGTTTACTAACAGTTCTCCTCTCAATCAGCTCAGACACTGCTCTGGATGGCTGTGGCACACTGCTCTGGATTGTAAGCTCGAAAGAGCAGGGCCCTCAATCCCCTCATGTTTTGCATTGTATTGGTATTGTTCTGTGACATGTTCTGTCCCCCTTTGTAATGTAGAGCGCTGAGTGAACTATTGGCTCTTTATAAATACTGTATAATAATAATTACACTGAAGCACACGGACACAGCCCCCTAGTAAAACACTCCCTGCACACAGTTAACCCTTTGATCGCCCCTCATGTTAACCTCTTCCTGCTCAGTGCCATTAGTACAGTGTCAGTACTTTTTTTTTTTTTAGCACTGATCACTGTATTGGTGTCACTGAGAATGTCAGTGACACCAAGTCTGTTCCCCCCAGTGTCAGAATGCCCACCGTAGTCCCGCTATAAGTCGCTAATCACCACCATTACTAGTAAAAAAAAAAAAAATTTTTAAATCCCAGTATATATACGCCATTTGTAAATGCTATAACTTTCACTTAAACCAATTATTTTACAAATATTGTGATTTTTTAGCAAAAACGTCACAGAATACATTTTGGCGTAAATTTATGAAGAAATTCGATTTTTTTAATTTTTTACTGGACATGTTTAATAGCAAAAAAGTCAAAAATAGTTTTTTTTTTTCTCAAAATTGTATTTTTTTTATAGCACAAAAAATTAAAAACACACAGGCGATCAAATACCACCAAAAGAAAGCTCAATTAGTGGGGAAAAAAAGGACGTAAATTTAAATTGGGTGCAGCGTTACATGACTGCGCAATTGTCAGTTAAAGTAACGCAGTGCCGTAACATAAAAAATGGCCTGGTCAGGAAGGGGCGTAAATCCTCAGGAGGGTGAGGGGTTAATAAAATGTAAACCTTTTTTAAATGTATAAGTTCTATGTAATGACATACTGATGGGTCATCCTTGAAAGACTTTGATTTCTTTGTACACTTTATTTTGGTCTATTGTGTTTTTTGTTAATGACCACTTAGTATTAGGCTGGATTAAGCAGATCCAGTAGATATATCTTTCCCTCCACACTTATTTACTCATACACAATATGCTACAGTTTTAGTAAATAACCCCCTATGTACACATGCGCACCACTGGTGTCTTCCAGAATTTTATTACCTGGCAAAGAGGGTTAAGGCAGTGCTGGAAAATAAAGGCGGCCACACAAAATATTGACACTTTGGGCCCAATTTGGACATTGTCACTTAGGGGAGGACTCCCTTTTGTTGCCAGCGGTTTAGACATTAATGGCGGTGTGTTGAGTTATTTTGAGGGGACAGAAAATTTACATGTTATACAAGCTGTACACTGACTACGTCACATTGTAGCAAAGTGTCATTTCTTCAGTGTTGTCACATGAAAAGATAGAATAAAATATTTACAAAAATGTGAGGGGTGGACTCACTTCTGGGAGATACTGTATATATATACTATATACACCAAACACCCATAAAATTATGACCCACCCACCATAACCTGACCCGCCATGGACTGCACTAGACCTCTGAAGGCATGCTGTGGTATCTGGCACCAAGCCATCAGTAGCAGATCCTTTAACCCTGTTTAAAAAGTAATTTTAGGCTTGAAGATTACACAAAACCCCAAAACAGTATATATTTTCTAAAAGCAGACAACCAGAGTTTTAGTAAATGCAAACTTTCAGTAAAAAACACACCAAAGTGAAAAAGATGAGGTTGCGCCGAGTAAATAGATATCCAATAGGCCAAACCTTAAATTTGTGTGCGCCTATGAAATGACGACAAACTTCAGTACCCTATACTGTATTTTCTATAGGCGACGCTTCAAAAGCCCCTTTAGGTCATCAGTTTAGCATTATGGAGGAGAATTATTGCTCTCTGGCGTGCGCAATGATACGTAACGTGTATTGAAATCAATGTTTTCACATGTAGGCACCCCAACGTGTGCATTTACATTCATGCATGCGTATATGTGGGGGGTCTCAAACTTTTTGGGGGGGATGCGATGTGCTTGGGTGTAACTTTATTTTTTTTTGCAATAAAAAAATGTTTTTTACTTTACTTTAGTCTCCAATGTGATGATTTTTAGTTGATAGCTTCTCTTTAACCACCTCCCGCCTGCCATATAATACCCGCCATATAGTAATATGACGGGTGCAAGATGGTTCTCTCGTTCTGGGAGGACGTCATATGACGTACTCCCATTCTCACTGCGCATGCGCGGCTCAGGGAGCGCAACATGGCGATCGGCGATGCGCTGTGTCCCTCGGTCACCGATCACGGAAAGAGCCGAAGATGTCGGCTCGGTCATGTGATCAGCTGTGTCCAATCACAGCTGATCACATGTAAACAGGGAAATGCCGGTTATCAACATTTCTCTTCTCTCGTGCCGTCACGCTGACAGCTCGAGAGGAGAGGAGAGCCGGTAATCGGCTTTCCGCGGAGGGGACATGTACACTGATCATCAGGGCACTGATGATCAGTGTGCCCTGATGATCAGTGTAGCCCCAGCAGTGCCACCTGTCAGTGTCCATCAGTGCTTACGTCAGTGTCCATCAGTGCCACGTGCCAGTGCACATCAATGCCACATATCAGTGCCCATCTGAGCTGCCTTTCAGTGTCACCCATCAGTGCCAATCAGTGCCACCTATCAGTGCTGCCAATCAGTGCCACCTATTAGTGCCAGTCAGTGCCGCCTATCAGTGCGCATCAGTGTCGTCTATCAGTGCCAGTCAGTGCCGCTTATCAGTGCCAGTCAGTGTCGCCTATCAGTGCTGCCTTTCAGTGCCCATCAGTGATGCCTGTCAATGCCCATCAGTGCCACCTACCAGTGCCTCCTCATCAGTGTCCATCAGTGCAGCCTATCAGTGCCCATCAGTGCAGCCTCATTAGCGCACATCAGTGAAGGAGAAAAATCACTTATTTACAAAATTTTATAACAAAAACTAAGAAAAAAACATTTTTTTTTCAAAATTTTTCAGTGGTTTCTGGTTTGTTTAAGAAAAAATAAAAACCCAAAGGTGATTAAATACCACCAAAATAAAGCTCTATTTGTAAAAAATGTTGTTGTTTGACTGCGTAATTGTCATTCAAAGTGTGACAGCGCTGAAAGCTGGAAATTGGCCTGTAGGGTATAAGTGCCCTGTAGGGGAGGGGTTAATGAGACATGTAGGATCTTTTAGACCCTGCATGTCTCCTCTGGGCTCCACTGGATGTATTGCAATGCATATCACATTACAATACATTTCTCCCCGGCTATTCTAGTGACGTCACACACATTGCCTTCTGGGTCTCCATCTGCTGGCGCGCATTATGGCACTCCCTAGGCCTGCAGATGGGCAAGCGTAGCCGGAATACATGGCAGTAGCATGTGCTGGGGGAGGCACCGTTACTGCGGGCTGTGGAAGCAATCGGCATCAGCGCAGCCACCTGACTGCTTCCACCTGACGGGCAGGATTGTGTATAAATCTCCCCCACTGGCAGGTCCATCCGACGTACGGCAGAAGAGAAAAGAGGGCGCCAGGTCAGAGTGAGTAAAGAAAACATGTAAACTTTATTAGAGAACACTTTCATCTACAATTTCTTCACTCGGCATGCAGAATGAGAAGGCAGACAGAGGAGCAGGACCGGAGTTCACTGATGGATCAATGTAGGCAGCATGACCATGCAGGGAGCCGCTCCTGGACTCTGTGGCGTTTGTTCAAAAGTCCCACCAGGCAGTGGAGGGATTGACAGGTTCCATGACAGATGCCATGAATGGCGGGTGAACTAACGCCGCCGAGTCCTTGAGCGGCTCCCTCCATGGTCATGCTGCCTACATCGATCCATCAGAGTGAACTGCGGTCCTGCTCCTCTGTCTGCCTGCTCATTCTGCATGCCAAGTGAAGGAATTTTAGATGTAAGTCTTCTGTAATAAAGTTTACATGTTTTGTTACTCACTCTGACCTGGAGCCCTCTTTTCTGTTCTGCTTATCTCCGAGGGATCCCCCACATCCTTGATGAGGAGCTGCCGGTCCTATCCCATGTGCCTTGTTCTTCTGGTCCATTCCTTCCTCACTCTGTCCATCTTAAGGTTGCAATGACTTTTTTTTACAACTGTCACAACATCCATTGCACAGGATCTCCCTCATCCCTGACGAGGAGACGCCAGTTCCATCCCATGTGCCTTGTGTCCTTGGTTCGCATCTTCCTCATTCTGCCCATTCTATGGACGCATTGACTCCTTGACCACAGTCACCACATCCATTGTACAGTCAGTCCTAACTTTTCCTTCTAATTGTAGCCATTGTCGCCATCCTATTCTATATTGTGTGAGCGCTGAATATTATTGTTCATTGTATTGATGATCATTGTATGTACCATACGACGTACGGACCTGACAGTAAGTCCTGTAAGTTGTGAAGTTGGACTTCCATGCAAAGGACTGGTTTTTCCTGCACATCCCACAGGTAATCCATTGGATGCTGCATAGACATGAATGGAATTGCACCAAAAATGTAACCTGCATGACAAAAGGCAGCTCCTCCTAGCAACATTAACACATCCCCCCAAAAAATTCAAATGAAAAACCCCAAAATGCACTGCATAATGGGCCTCAAAAAGACATCAACCGCAAATGCATAGATGTGAACCTAGCCTTGTGTTTGACACATGTGCCCTAACATGGGGAAAGAACCTGGGGCAAATCATTGGCCCCTATGGGGGTGAGTGCTACATACATTTCTCAACTTTAGAAACTGTTGGACATAAAAGGAGTGCATTTTAAATTAAGCAAAATGAAAGGTGTTACGAAGAAATTTCAAACATGGATTGATCTTTCAATGGAAACCAGCTGCTGTGAGCAACGGCCCAAATTTTGATCCAACTGAAAGGACTTCACAGAGGATGAACTGATGGGAGATGTGTTCAGTACAATTAAAAGCTAAGTCCACCAAGTCTGTATTTAGGATGTAGCATGGTGTCAAGTGGACATCTCCCACCGCCAAAACACCCTGTCTCTCTTACAGCTTGTGGGGGTACGTTCTTTGTCCCTGCACCAGCTGTCAGAATACAAGTCACCATAGTTATGTGGGGTTTGAAGTTCTCAATGGAATACAAGTGCAGCGATCACCACACTCGCAGTCCATTGACATTTCCTCCAGATCTCTAACTGAAAGCCCTACCTTGACACAGACAGAGCTAGTGAAAGAAACTGCACACTGCTGATCGCGGTTGCAATGCTTTACATGCTCATTTGCAAGACTTAATAGATGAGGTAATATATATTTATATAATATATATTAATATATGTGTTCTATATAGATTTAATTTTTTTTAAAAAAGGTGGCCTTTAAAGCTCAATTCTGGCCAGATATTAAAAACACAAATGAATATAGCTCTGTATTCATTAATACATCGTTGAATGTCTTTTTTAATGAGTTCCCCTCAGCTGTGCGCATATATGCAATACCGGCAAGTACCGATTGCATACTGTTTGTGATCAGAAGCTTTTCGATCATGTGACCGCTGTGACTGCCGTCCTCACTGCCTGCACATAAAGTTATACAATGGAAGAACAAATCCATTTCTCTGATTTGTGGATGTTTGCCCCCCGTGCCATGCTTCCCAGTCTCCGCTGTCCAACTTGCACGGCAGGTGTCACTGGATGGATGGAAGACCAGCGAATGTCCATTCGCTAATCTCCCCTAGCTGCAAAGAACCGGTGTGTATAACATTGCTTCTGGTTACAGGTGTCACTTTTCCTGGCCACTGCAGCAAGGGAAGAAGATTGTAGAGCGCAATTCATGCTCCATTAGCCTCAATGGAAGGCAGCTGAGACATCGGGGGACTGAAGAAGCCCTGTAGTAGTAGTAGTAATGCAGAATGCAAAGGCCAGGAGTAAGTAATGCACAGTGTAGGGATCAATAGTAACTAACACAGAGATCAGTCATATGTAGAGAAGAGTTCAGATGTCAGGAGTAAAGCCGTCCATACATGGGTCGAATTCCAAAAGAATTTTCTTTCGAAAATCTTTTCTAAGAATTTTCGTTCAATTTTCGCACCATTAGTGGTTCACAGAAATGGCCAATTTTCGTGTGACCATCGAATTTGAGTGATCCGGCATGTTGGAATTTTTTGAAAAATTAATGATTTTCGAATCAATGATGGGAGAATTGTGCGAGAAATACAAAGCTCTGACCTGGAAAAAAAAGAAAATTCTTGGCCATGAAAATTCTTTTCTGTAGCAACATGAGAAATTGAAGGCTTGGTTGGTTGAATTTCGAAATCAATGGTGGCACCATCGCATTACAAAACGCACAAAATTTCTGATTTTCTAAAGAATTCGACCCGTGTATGGCCTGCATAAGTAACAGAGTGTAGAGGGCACAGTTAAAGATAACAGAGACCAGACAGTGGCCACTTATGTGATTAACCTGCAGTAGACCCCAGGGGTGGACTGACAACTCATGGGGCCCCTGGGCAATAGGGGATCATGGGGCCCCTGTGTCCTTGCCCAAACTCAAAAAAGCCTATGAAAAAGGTACCAGGGCATCTCATGGGGCCCCCTACTAACCCCGGGCCCTTGGGCAGTGCCCGAGTTTCCAAATGGTCAGTCCGCCCGATAGACCCCTTTGTAGACTGATCTATTCATAGCATTTTCCTGACCTCTTGATTCTGTACATTACATACTCCTGATCCTCCTAGCATTCTGTATGGGTCTATGGGGGGGCTGTGTACCCTGTCATGCCCACTGTCCTCAGCTGCCAGTCTCCGCATATAGATAACATGCTCCATCTGCACTGGGTAGGTTCTCTCCCAGTGCCACCAATACATCCCCCTCCCAAGTGCCAGAATCCAGAAGTTAAATCCTTTTTCTGAACAAAGGTTAAACCTTCAGACTTGCATAATTTTATAGTGGGTTAAAAAGGCACATTTTCATCTAGTTCAAGAAAAAAACACAAACTCATCTTTGTTCAAAATACAAAAAAAACCCTCTTTCTTCCTCAGAACCCCCACTGTGCTGACCCTGCTCAGAGGTGCCCCCCCCCTTCCCCATATGCGGAGTGGAGCAAGGAAGCAGCGATAATTTGCAGAGTGGAGCAAGGAAGCGATGGTAAGACATTACTGCTTGTTCTGGCATGCTGGTCCCTGCCAATCCACCGCTTTCACTCAGCACAGGCATTTGTGCCATCACAATGTGACATTGCATACAAGTGCCATGCTGCTACATCCCTATGCCGTTTGGCATTTGCGGGGGAGTGCACTTCGTAGCCAGGCTGGCATGGTGAGGATGCAATCTACCTGTGAACCCAGTAACAACTTCGGGTCTCCGCTCCGGCTTATGCAGCCACATCCGATGGATTCCATCCAGGGTGCAGGCTGGGTTAAGAGTTCCACTAAACTGAGTTGCAGAATGAAAATAAAGACCCACAAGACGCATACCAAGCAATCGGGGCTTAGACATGGAGGCCTCCCATAACTAAGCCCAGTGAACGGGGAGAAACACATCAGTGGTGTGGCTGGGATGGAGATAGACTGAGGCTGCTATTATCTTTCCGATGCACAGATTTGCTTGGTGTGCAGCTTGAGGGATGCAATCTACCTTTGATATTGATGGGTAGATCATGATCGATGGGTAGCTGACTCCCCATACAGACTGCAAGGGTCAGGAGTATGTAATATACAGAATGCAGTGGTTAGGAAAATGCTATGTATAGGTCGCTGTACAAAGTGCTGTGGTCAAGTATATGTAATGTAAAGTGCAACAGCCATATATATAGTATATAACATAAAACAACAATGGGTACGTACGGTTCAGCACAGTGTACTAAATATGGCAGTCGTGCATATGTAATTTACATGGTACATTACATAATCCTGACTGCTGTAAATTGTAAGTATTTTGTATTTTGCAGAGTAGAGTGGGGTAGGGACTGGCCAGAGAGGGATTACTTTGATGCAGTTGGCTGGCTTAAACATGTATTGTAATGTATGTGAACTAAAAATCTGTTTTTATGCAAAGTTTACTAGAAAGTGTGTATAGCAGAATTGAGGTTTTAGTGTATAAATGTGGTCACGCCCCTTCAGCACCTGATGGGTTCTATACTGTACATTGATTAGCCATAACATTACAACCACTCACCATAACCTTGCAAGGTATGGACTCCACTAGACCTCTGAAGGTATTCTGTGGCATCTAGTACCATAACCTGTCAAGGTATGGACTCCACTAGACCTCTGAAGGTATTCTGTGGCATTTGCACAAAGTCATCAGTAACAGATCCTTTAACAGCATGTAAGTGATGAGGTGGTTCCTTCATGGATTGGACTTGTTTTTCCAGCACATCCCAAAAATGCTTGAATGGACTAAGATCTGGAGAATTTGAAGGCAGTCAACACCTCAAACTCACTGTTGTGTTTCTCAAACCATTCTTTAATTCATCAGACAGTCCCTTTCCTTCCATTGCTCTGTAGTCCAGTTCTGATGCTCACGTGCCCATTGCAGGCACTTTTGGCTGTGGACATGGGTCAGCATGGGTACCCTGACCAGTCTGCAGCTGTGCAGCCCCATACACAACAAACTCTGTGGGTTCTGACACCTTTTTATCTGAACCAGCATTAACTTTTTTTCAACAATTTGAGCTACAGCATCTCTTCTATGGGATTGGAATACACAGACCTGCCTTTGCTCCCCACCTGGGTCAATGAGCCTTGACCATCCATGACCCTGTCACCAGTTCTCCTTCCTTGAACCACTTTTAGTCAGACCTGACCACTGCAGACCAGGAACATCCCACAAAAGCTGCAGTTTTGGCGTTGCTTTGATCCAATCGTCCCACCATTACAATTTGCCCTTTTGTCAAAGTCGCTCAAATCCTTACGCTTGCACAATTTCCCTGCTTTCAACATATCAACTTCTAGGACAAACATGTTCACTTGCTTCCTAATACTGTATATCCCACCCACTTTCAGATGTGATTGTGATGAGACAATCAATGTTGTTCACTTTACCTGTCAGTGGTCATAATGTATATGTATAAGCTATCTGGATTTGAGCACATGTACATATATCTATATATACGTATTTCTATTGTATGGTGGAGGTAAGTGACCAAACCTGAACCTGTAGCTCTCCTACAATTTGTGTCCATTTACCCCACTATATCCACTGAAGTATGATATAAGCAAGTAAGTGTTTTACATTTTACAGAATAGAGCAGGACTGGCCAGAAAGGGATTACTTTGACGCAGTTGGCCGGCTTAGACATGTATTGCAATGTATTTGAAGGAAAAATCAGTTTTTCTGCAATGTTTGCCAGAAAGTGTGTATAGCAGTGTGCAAAGGGTCCATCCAGAATTTTTCCTGCATCCCCTTGCACACCTCTACTCCAGCTATCTCCCAAAGCATGGATGCTGGGCTGAAAGGGAGGTGTCCACGTTCCAAACACATCATGAAGAAATAACAGAACCGCCAAACACCAATAACATACCAATAGTCAAGGCTTTATTCTAGCAACCCATCAATCGTGGGCAGGTAAGGAGGGGCGGCAGGGATGGCATTTAATGGAATGGTTTCCTGTATTTTCCTACCTGCAGCAGCTGAATGCCTGCTTCTCCTCCTCTCTTTCCCACTGGCATTCACCTTCTGCAGAGAGGAAAATACAGCTGATCAGTCTCACTAAATGCCACCCCGCCGCCCCTCCTCACAAGGTTCCTCTTTCTTCTGTTGCCTAAACCCCCCCCCCACCCCCCAGCATTGCCAATAAAATATAATTAGACATAAAATATTATACTGACACAGTCCACTGCCCTACAGATACCGTCCACTGCTCAACTGACACCATCTACTGCTCTACTGACAACATCCTCTGCCCTATTGACACCAACCTCTGAACCTACTTACACAATTCACTGCCCTATAGACACAATTCACTGTACTACTGACACCAACCTCTGCCCTGCTGACACCATCCACTGCCCTGCTAAAACAGTTCATTGCCTTGCTCACACCATCCACTGCCCTGCTGACACCGTGCACTGCCCTGCTGACACCATCCACTGCTGTGCTGACACCATCCACTGCTGTGCTGACACCATCCACTGCTGTGCTGACACTGCCCACTGCCCTACTGACATCAACAACTGCCCTACCAACACCTGCCCTTCTGACACCAACCATTGCTCGACTGACACTGCCCACTACTCTACTGACACCAACCTCTGCCCTACTGACACCGTCCACTGCTCTACTGACACCAACCACTGCCCTTCTGGCACAACAACTGCCCAACACCGTCCACAACTCTCCTGACTGGCACCACCCACGGCTCTAATTAAACCAACCTCTGCCCTACTGACATTTTCTACTGCTCTACTGACACCAACCACTGCCCTACTGACTTGGACTACTTTTAAGGTAGGCTAAGCTAAGTTGTCCTTACTTAGGCCTTGCTAGTTAATTTCTTAAAAAAAAAAAAAAAGGCGCCTAACCCGGTGATATTTGATCTCTTTCATGTTGTCCAGGTAGCTCACCTCTCAAAGGTTGTCTACCCATTTTAGCATAAACCATAGCCTGAAGACCACCTACTCTAACGTGTTCCACCGCACTGGGCTGTCATAGAGGTCAGGTGTGGTGAAAGGCATTAGAGTAGGCAGTCTCCAGGTGACTATGGCAATGGGTTATACTAGAATAAAACCTCGATGATTGGTACATCATTGGTATTGGTGGCAGAGACTTTAATTTAGAGTCATCTAAATCCTTGTCAGAAGAACCCTCCCCTGAGGAACTGTGGTCTATAGCTATCACTCACAAGTTTTATTGAAGCGCTGTGAACCACCTTGAAGCTTGAGAATCTTCCATCACTTCACACACCAATTCCACCAATGCCCCCCATGCATACCTCCGCCATCACTGTACTGCCCACACACCTCTGCCAGCCCCTCCTGTTCAACAACTGCGCCCTCCTCGCACCAAATAGCCCCTTGCACGCCTCAACAGCTGCACTCCCTTCACTCCCCACCACACATTTCTATCACCACAGTACGCAAGCTGAGTCTGGTATGGATTTTAAGGGGATCCTCCAGCAAAAAAAAAAAAAAAGTAATGTTCCCCTAAAAATCCACACCAGATCTTAAAGTGGTTGTAAACCTCAGACATAAAATATGAACAAAGCATATATCTACATAGTGTGTGCTTGTCTGATTTAAATTTAAACACATGAGTCTCGTCTGACAAGTTTTCCTGACACCAAGAGAAAAAAAGGTGACAGGGTATGTAGCTCCAGTACACATCCTCTGATTGACAGCTTCAGCTCTGTTCTTGTGTGCTGTTTGGAGGGGGGGGGGGGTCCCTTCATTCCAATCAGCTCTCCACTCCCTTTATTTTTAATCCCAGACAAGCTTTAAAATTCAGCACTTTGGATGTAGAGAAGACTGCAGATAAACAGGTACAACTTATGCAGGAGGATTTGCTTTATCCTTTTGTATCATCCGAGTCATTTTACTGGGTATATGCAAGGGTTTACAACCACTTTAAAAGCAATTTTTTTTGGCATTCAGCTTTAAAGAACTTCAGTTATGGCAGTTTCTACATATTTACATTGGGCCAGCTTGGACCAATGTAACCACAATCATATCATACCTGTTGTCTCCCTCTTGAAGCCGAAAATCACTGAAATAGACACTGCTGCTACGGTGAGTACCGCTAGGTTACGGGTCCTGTGCCACGCAACTTCCCTGCTGCATTGAGAACACAGGAGTTTGCCTGCTTGGCACGCTTTGAATTTGTCAATGAACGCAAAGCATTCTCTGATTGGATGAGGTGGGGCAGTAATGTCACAGTCTCCATCTCATCCAATCACAGAATTCTTTGCATTAATTTAAAATTCTCTGAATGGCACCTGCATGGTAAATGCATTGTTCCATTGGTCCAACTATGTAAAAATATCCATACTTGAAATTCTTTAAAGAAACATAATATAATACTGATTCCCATCTTCATTATCACGGTTTATTTTCTCCTCCTTTCTCCCGTGTTGCGTAGTCTATAACATAAGTATTAACAGAGTACTTTTATTCTAGTCCTCAAACTGTATTACGATAGGATCATGTCCAGTCTTTTTCAAGAAGGTCATAAATTCATCAGGGGTGATGCCCATGGTCGCCGAGTTGGTCATAGGATGGAAGTAAACTCTCTCGTGACCACTTTCTAAAAATTTGGAATCCAGGACAAACTTGACATCTCCTTTGACATCACAGAAGAGGGAAAGCGGAGTGGCACAGCCTTGGCCTACTTTCAGTTTCTCAATCATGGAAGCTTCATCTGCAAAGCGGAGATTCCCGCTGCCAACGTTCAGCTTCTTCGCCAGATCGTTGAGGTTGACCTGCCTATCGTGGAGAACCGTCACCAGCCAGAGCCCTTTCTTCTTCTTGTCTTTCAAGAAAAGGTTTTTACTGTGTGCACCTGGCAAGTGCTGCACATGAGGCATCATTTCCTCCACAGTGAATACCTGCAAGAAAGAACTCTTTTAGCACCAATGTAGGGAGCGTTAGCATAGGACATGTCATAATCATTCCAGAGACTTATGGGCTGTCCACATGTTACAGTCTCCTTTAGATGTACCAACAATGTAGTGCAGGGATAGACAGCCTTGATGGTGAAACTACAAATCATGGCTCTGTTTCTTGGAGCCCTACCTGTGGCCATTAGTCTTCCAATGCCTCATGCGACTTGTATTTCCACAACAGTTGGAGTGTGGAGTTTGTCTACCACTGACATAATGAAAGGGCCTATCTTCATACAAATAAAATGGATTCTTTATGCTGACCTTCACTCTACGTCACCTCCCCACAGAGGAACCCTTGCAATAATTTTTAGGTCTAGAACAGCCTTTCTCAACCAGGTTTCAATGGAACCCTAGGATTCCTCCCAAGGTTGCTAGGTGTTCCTTGAACATTGAGACATTTCTTCCTCTCACATAAGCTACCGCTGACCCAAAGATCCTTGAACTATCTGTAAGGATGGGTGTTTTCACATTGACCACCATTGTAAGGCGCAGTCTTCCCTCTAATCATCACGCCAATGTCCTGTAATTATTAGCAGGGGTTCAATGAGACTGGGAAGTTATTTCAAGGGTTCCTCCATATTAAAAAGGTTGAGAAAGGCTGTTTTAGAGCAGTAGTCTCCAAACTGAGGCTCACGGGCTGAATGTGGCCCTTTGATTCCCCTTATCTGGCCCTTAAAGCACTATTCCTCCTACTGACACCAATGATGCGTCACTGTTCCTCCCACAGACACCAATGATGAGGTGTCATTCCTCCCACATACACCAATCAATGGGGCACCATTTCTCCCACAGACAGCAACGATGGGGTATCGTTACTACCTTGGATACCAACAATGGGGCACCATTCCTTCCAATGATACCAACAATAGGTCACTATTCCATTCACTAAAACCAATGATGGGGCACTGTTTGCTCTCACAGACACAACGGCATTTTAGAATCCCACTAGCCACAGTCTGGCCCCTCTAATGCCTCAACAACAGAAAGTTTGGAGACCCCTGTTGTAAAGGGACAGATTAGCAGAGAGGAGGGCATGATCTAAGTGTAGTATAAACACATAAATTGGTAGTGAAAACACAAATGGCAGCTCTATATGGGTGGGTGTTTTCCCATTGATCACCAAGGTAAGTAGCAGTCTTCCCTCTAACCATCACGCCAATGTCCAGCAATTGTTAGCAAGGGTTCAGTGAGACTAGGAAGTTATTTCAAAGGTTTTCTCCATAATAAAAAAAATTGAGAAAGGCTGCTGTAGAGCAGTGGTCTCCAAACTGTTGGCCCACGGAGAAGATGTGCCCCTTTGCTTGCCCTTATCCTATTATCCTATCCTATTCTTCGAACTGAAACAAATGATGGGGCATCATTCAACCCACAGACACCAATGATGGAGTATCATTCCTTCCACATATGCCAATGATGAGGCACCATTCCTCCTACAGACACTAACGATGGGGCACCAGTCCTCTCACAGACACCAATGATGGGGCACCATTCCTCCCACAGACATCAATGATGGAGTATCATTCCATCCACAGACGACAATGATGGGGCACCATTCCTCCTACTGATGCCAATGATGGGGCACCATTCCTCCTACAGACACTAACGATGGGGCACCATTCCTCTACCAGACACCAATGATGGGGCACTATTCCTCCCATAGACATCAATGGGGCACCATTCTTACCTTGAATACCAACAACGGGAAACCATTCCTTCCACTGATATCAACAATAGGGCACTATTCCCTCCACCAAAACCAATTTGCTCTCTCCGACAAAATTGCATTTTCTAATCCCACTGGCCACAGTCTGGCCCCTCTAAAGTCTCAAGGACAGTAAACTGGCCCTTTGTTCAGAAGGTTTGGAGATGCCTGTAGTAAAGGAACAGATTAGCAGAGAGGAGGGCACGATCTAAGTGTAGTATAAACACATTTAAAGGTGGTGAAAAGATAAATGGCAACTCACAATAACAGTTAAAAACACCAGCTTATTAAAAGATAAGGGCCTATGGTGGCAGTTCTCAGCACAGCGACGCACCTGGGTCCACCTCTCTGCTATTCTGTTATCCAGTATACTTCAGTGTCTTCAAGAGGTGCTGCACCAAGTGTCTGATGCCAGCAAGAAGTCACCCCGGATGTTCCAACTGGACTTATGGACTTGTTGCTGAACTCAAATTTATCTGTGTACATATTATTGTACACTTATTGCACCACATTTTTCTCTCTATCGACATTATAGAGCTGGGATCTCCAAACTGCGGCCCAGATGCTGCTCTTTGTTTGCCTTTATCTGTCCCTTGGGCTACTATTCCTCCTACTCATATGAGTTACTATTCCTTCCACTGACACCAACAATAGGGCCCCTATTCTCCTATCTGATACCAATAATGGGGCACAATAACTTCCACTGATACCAATGATGGGGCACTATTCCTCCCACTTACACCAAGATGGGGCACTATCCCTTCCACTGACACCAATGGTGGGGCACTATTCCTTCCATTGAAACCAACAATGGGCCACTATACTTCTTACAGTCACCAACGATGCGGAACTACTCCTTCTATTTCTCACACTGACACCAACAATGTGCCACTATTCTTCTTGCTGACACCAACAATGGGGCACTATTCCTTCCACTGACACCAATGATGGGGAACTATTCCTCCCACTGACACCAATGATGGGGCACTATTTCTCCAATTGGCTCCAACAATGGGGAACTATTCCTCTCACTAACACACACAATGGGACGCTATTCCTCCCACTGTCACCAATAATGGGACACTATTTCTCCAATTGGCTCCAACAATGGGGAACTATTCCTTCCACTGAAAGCAATGATGGGACACTATTTCTCTTCCTACTGACCACAGGCACTATGTAATTTTCTTACTCCTACTGATAACCATGCCTGAATCATTGTTTAATTCCACTGATACCAAGGCATTGTCTATTCCCACTTGCCACAGTCCGGCCCCCCTAAAGTCTGAACAACAGTAAACTGACCCTTTGTTAAGAAAGTTTGGAGACCCCTATTGTAGAGGAAGCGCTGCTAAAATCAACTTATTGGAGGTCAGTGGGAAACATGCCTCCTTATAGTTGTGGTCAGAATATCCCCTCTAACAAACATCTAAAAAAAAACATTGGTGTCATGCGGCTGGCTCTGCTAAGTGGCCCCAGAAGTATGCAGGCACCATCCAATGGGAGGCTGATCAGCCAGGAAGGCTGAAAGAACCCTAGTTCAGAATGGCGGCACATTGTTCTTAATGAACATAGAGAAGATTGTGCAGAGGTAATGCATGTAGCCAGAAAGGATGAGTTTGGGTTTCTTCCAAACCTATAAGTCAGTTTTCATGAGTGGGCCAATGAGCTGCAGGCAGAACAAACCCAAGCTCATCCTTGTGGACAGTCTTGGAGCAACCCGGTCACATACCTAAACTCTATCCAGTAAAGAACAGAGGGAATACTTACCTTTCACACTGCCTGTGCAGCTCCATTTGTGAGTAATGGTCCTCCACCGTGTGCTGGGATGCGGATGTTTCTGGGAATGCTGATCCCTGCGGTGCCCCCCACACACTGATTCCTCCTGAGTTATGTAGAGGTCATCAGGACTAGTAGTGGGGGGACCATGGAGATCAACACTCCCGTAAGTGTCAGTTTCCCAGTGGACGTTGGGGAACATTTCTCACGAACAGAGCCAAGTTCAACAACAGAAAGGGTAAGTACCCCCCTCTTATTTACAAGTAGGTGCTTGTTGGATATAGAATAGGAACATGACCAGGTCATTTTAAAGTGGACCTATAGTGCCTTGAAAAAGTATTCATACCGCTTGAAATTTTCCACATTTTGTCATGTTACAACCAAAAACATAAATGTATTTTATTGGGAATATATGTGATAGACCAACACAAAGTGTCACATAATTGTGAAGTGGAATGAAAATGATAAACGTTCTTCAAAATTTTTTTACAAATAAATGTCTGAAAAGTGTGGTGTCCATTTGTATTCATCATCCTTTACTCTTATACCCATAACTAAAATCTAGTGGAACCAATTGCCTTCAGAAGTCACCTCATTAGTAAATAGAGTCCACCTGTGTGTAATTTAATCTCAGTATAAATGCAGCTGTTCTGTGAAGCCCTCAGAGGTTTGTTAGAGAACATTAGTGAACAAACAGCATCATGAAGGCCAAGGAACAAACCAGACAGGTCAGGGATAAATTTGTGGAGAAGTTTAAAGCAGGATTAGGTTATAAAAAAAAATATTGCAAGCTTTGAACATCTCACGGAGCACTGTTTAATCCATCATCCGAAAATGGAAAGAGTATGGCACAACTGCAAACCTACCAAGACATGGCCATCCACCTAAACTAACAGGCTGGGCAAGGAGAGTATTCATCAGAGAATTAGCCAAGAGGCCTATGGTAACTCTGGAGGAGCTGCAGAGATCCACAGCTCAGGGGGGAGAATCTGTCCACAGGACAACTATCAGTTGTTCACTCTACAAATATGGTCTTTATGGAAGAGTGGCTAGAAGAAAGCCAGGGTTGAAAGAAAGCCATAAGAAGTCCCGTTTGCAGTTTGTGAGAAACCATGTGGGGGACACAGCAAACATGTGGAAGAAGGTGCTCTGGTCAGATGAGTCCAAAATTGAGCTTTTTGGCCTAAAAGCAAAACGCTATGTGTGGCGGAAAACTAACACTGTACATAACCCTGAACTCACCATGTAACATGGTGGTGGTAGAATCATGTTGTGGGGATTCTTTTCTTCAGCAGGGACAGGGAAGCTGGTCAGCATTGATGGGAAGATGGATGGAGCCAAATACAGGGCAATCTTAGAAGAAAACCTGTTAGGGTCTGCAAAGGACTTGAGACTGGGGCGGAGGTTCACCTTCCAGCAGGAAAAAGACCCCAAACATCCAGCC